GCTCTTCTGAAATGAATCCTCATAGCAGGAAATCTGAAAAGGTAGGTGTGTGGTTTAAAAGAAGCATATAAATTAGAAAGTATCTGCTATTAACTCCCTTGTAGTTACTCTCCACATGGATTCTGAAGGAAATTTGACTGAGGTGAGCTTTGATGCTCTGTTTTCAGAGCAATAAAGTGAGGTAAGATAGAATCCTGCCCTTTCATGCTACAACAGACTGTCTTGCCAGTCACAGGGAGGAAAACTTCCAAGAACATGAACTGGTTTGCAGGGAAGTGGAGCACTGAGATGAAGCCAGGGCTCCTCCCAGCAGTGCACAGGTCACCCACAGCACTGAGCAGATGCCCAGCTCTGTCTGAGCTGGTGGAACAGATCCTCTGGGGGTGATATCTGACTTCATCAGACAGGTCAGAAGCCAGGAGACAGAATGGAAAAGGACAGATCATGGAAAACACCCAAAGACATTTCACATACGTTTGAGCTCTTACAGGCTTGCACAGTCAACTTAATTGCTGACTTCAAATTGTGATAGCATTCCAAAAGGTTATCACTGAATGAAAAAGCAATCTCAGACTGTGAAGGAAACTTTCACTTTTATCTGAACATTTCACTGATCACATATTTCTTTACCATTAATAATTTACCAAAGTTAACAGCTCATCACAAATCTTTGGTGTTTCCAAAGCCACAGCCCTCAGCTGTGGCCTACAATGAAAAATGGGAATCTGCAACTGCAAGGGCAAAATTGCAAAGTTCAGTTTAAGAAAGGCATTTCCCACAATACCTGGTACAGCATCAGTGTACAGAGCAGAGCTCCACAGCCACTGCTGCCTCAGTAACACTCACACAAATACAACAGGAAAACCAGTCCTGGTCCATAATTTTTAAGGAAGGGAATGTGTATCCTTGCAGTCATTACAGTTTCCACTGTTTAATATGCCACATATTAAACTCTGTCCACTTCAAAAGCAGGAACAATGAGCTGTTTCCTTTGCATAGTATTGACAAGTAATTTGATTCACATATTCATTTGGAATTACCAAATGAGAAGTAGTTTAAGCAGCTTCCCAAATCTCTCCCTTTTAATTTTTTCTCATGCTTAAGTTTAGTGCTCTCAACATGTCTGAACAAAATGCTTCTATCTACAAGCTTCATTTTACAAACAATATTATCACCTGAAGAACAGCTAAAATATACCAAAACACCTAAAACCAAAAGCTTAATGGCTATTTTCCAATGCCTGCCAGTAAACAAAACTTTTAAAAACCAAATTTTGAAGGTATTTGTGTTTAATACCTCAGGGAAAAAAAGAGAGGGTGGGATGGAATGTTTTCTGCAGCTGAAGTTCAGGCAGAAGTTTAAAAGGCAGTTCACCTCAGTTCATTATAAATAGAGGCTTCCAAGCAAAGACCTATCAGCACAAAGCAAATTTGAACACCAAAATGAGCAAGAGGAAAGAACTGATTTAGCAGTAGAGCTGCAAAGAGGAAAAGCTGGAGACACTGCTTTGCTTGTCAGGGCTGCCTGGGAGCACACAGGGGCCACTTTTCCCCAGTGGCTGCTGGAGTGACACAGATTTCCTCACAACTTCACAGCACCAAGAACCAACAACAGCCCTGGCTTTGTTCCTTTACAGCCACAGTCCCTGAGTTTGGGAGGTGCTGCTGAGGGGCCTGGAAATCCCGAGGATGGGCAGCCAGCAGAGAAGAGAGGTTCCCACGTGCTTGGCAAGACCAGAATGACCAGATACAGAATTGTCTTTGGAAAGAGAAGGGTGGATTAGTTTTCCCCTGCTCCCCTGCAGAACATTTCTGTACAAGGACTTATTAAACCAAGCCAAAATACTACTTTTCAGAATATGGGAGGCCTCCATCCAACCTCTTGTGTCCCATCTCCAGGTGATCCCCCTTTTTTGGGTAGAGTTATATTGAGCTCTGTGACAGAGGTAACAGCCCTGCTGTGTATGCATAATTCAAACCCCATGGGCTTTCCTCTAAAACAGGGATGGATTTTATTATCATGAGATATTGTGAGGAAGTATATAAAAACTTTAAATTACTATGCCACGGATGCAGTATGAGAATTTTAGGCACTAAATTACTTCATTTCCAGTTTATATTTTTTCTTCCCTTAGAAGGTAGGGAGGTTCTCTGTTCTCTCAGGAAAGACAATGCATGGCTAAATGCTGGAAGATGGTGAGAGTACTTTTTTTTCAGATAAGCAGAACTCAGCTTGGAGCCTGAGGTGCCCTTTGACTGTTGCAGTTTCATGTCTGGACATACATGTTAGCCCCAATGAACCTCTGGGCATTAAACTGCCATTTTTGGTCTTTATGTGGACTTGTGTGCCAGCACTGGAACTTCTTTCCAAGATCACTATGAACTGTGAACATGCCTTTGAGGAGAGTCCTACCAGATAGGAATACAGCAAAATGTGGTGGAGAGACAATATTCCATCTTACAAGGAATCCTGCTGGCAAGCCACAGCATCTGAAATCAGGAGAAGACCTTTCAAAAATAAATTTAAAAAAAAAAATTGCAAGTGGCGTGTCTCTGGCCCATCTGCTTTGCCCATCGTGATAAGCAGTTTATCATGATCTTGCCTTACTCATATCCCTGGAAAAAATCGCTGCTCTGTGCAGAGTGATCGGTTTCTCTTTCAAGCTTCAGCCTGAAGTGCAAGGCTGTAAGCAGCAATATTGGGTACTCTGACTCATTCCCTTGGAAGGCTATTTTTATGATTGTTCATGGAACTATATCTTAAAACTCTCAGTCCACGTTCTTAAATCACTTTCACAACTTTCTGCTGAGCCGTCTCAGCGCAATTCTTCCCTCTGAGGTTACAACCTCTCCGAGGCTCTCTTTGGGCTGCTTCCTCCCTCCCTGCCAGCCCAAACCAATGCCTGAGGACTCCTTCCTTTCCCCCACCTCGGTAAGTGGCTACAAGTCAGTGCCGTTTAAAATTTAATCAGTCTCGTCCTAACAGGACACAGTTGTTGGATTTTAACCCATCTTCTACACAAACCACTAAATTCAGCCACACTAACTGCCTCCTGACAGAACCTTTATCTCAAGAACCTCTTAATGAGCTCTCATTAGCACAAATTGGCCCTGAATATCTCACCACTTCCTATCTCCTGCTTTCTCTGCAATCCATTAGCATCTGTTAGAGCCTCGTTTGAACAATTAAACTTTACGGTTTCTAGAAACACACAAGAAGCACCGGGTTCTACTATGAGGTCTGTGTCATTGAGACACGTGGGAAGGGATTCACACGGTCCAGCTTAACAGAGCCCAAATTCTACCTGCACTTCATTGTCCACAGAGAAAGATTTAACACTTTGCCTTCTCCTCAGAGTTTATTTTCCACACCTTTTTTGTTGTCCTTGTTTATGTCCACCTTGGATAGCTCAAACTGCCCTAAGCAGCTGGATTTTCTCACCCACGAGCCTGATAACAGGTTCTTATTTAATAGCAGGTTCTTATTTAACTGTGTTTCAACCAGCAGCAGGTAAACTCAAACTCGAAGCCATTACAATGTGTCCCAACAGTGAGCTCGTGGATTAAAGGCTTGAGGAGCCCTGGAAGATGCTGATCCCTTGCAGAGGATATGGACTCCATCCCTACTGAAATCAGCCCCAACAGTAATTGTGTGGTGTGATGTGAACTGTTTTTCCTGCACTTGTCTATTGACTGTGTTTAAAGTCCCCTGAGAACAAACAGATCCGAGATTTTACAGCTGCACAGAGCTTGTGCCTGAACATTAATGGCTACATTGGCAAGCAGATGGAAGCTGGTCTTTCTTACTCTTTCCTAAAGATGTACAATCTTTTGACATTTTGATAGATCAGCAGATTCTCACTCCATGTTATAGTCCAGACATTCAGCTGAGAAAGAATTAATGTCTGTGACAGTGAAAATACTGCGGCTTTATTCCTTATAAAAGTCTTTGTCACATCTTGCAGGATAACATCCAGAACAGAGAAATGGTGTCTCCATTCAAGTCTATTGCAAAACTCCCAGGGATAAAAGTGTCTCATTCATAAAACTGTAAGCACACCTTACTATGTTTTGTAACTTTAATTAATGAAATGCTCTCAGAATGAGCCAGTGAGAGCAAAATCTCAACTTCAGCCTTCATCTGACCAAAACTGTCCATCAGCGATAGAGGGGTGAAGGTTTTCCTAATATCACATAGCAGAAACAGCCTGCTCCTTTCTCAGTGTAGGCTGCCCTATTATTCCTCATCTCAACTTGAAAAACATTATGGAAGTAGAACTTTATTTACTTGTGTGTGTATTTGGGGTCTTTTTCCCACGATACGTTAAGTTTTGCACATAATATTTATTTCCTTACTCCCTTTCGTGCATCCCCCAAAGCGGGGACACCTTACAGATGTCATGTTCAGTGAGGACTGAATCATTTGCTAAGAAATTGACGATAATGCATTAAGTTCGTTAGTTTCTGTTGCTCTTCTAAGTTCAGCAAGAGCCTGGGGTTAGGAGATGGCAAATTCAGCCCAGATGCGAGGAATTGGCTTTGAGGGCTTTACCCCTCTTGCTGAAGCAGCTCGGGCACTCGGAACCGCGAGTTTCAGAAGGCAGCGAGCGCAGTTCTGCAAAACTCGGCCGGAGTCCTTCAGCTGCAGCGCTGCAGAAGTTATCAGCGTTATCAGTTCTGCCGGGGGCTGTGCAGACTCGGCTGGAGTCCTTTATCTGTAGCTCAGCCCAAGTTCCGAGCAGGCCGGGCCGGGTCAGGAGCAGCGCGGGGACCCCGCGGCGCTGGAACCTGGGCGGGCGTCGCCGGGCTCGCCGCTCTTCCCATCGCCGTCCCTGAAGCCAGCCCCGAGTTGAGAGCCCGCGGCGGCCCCCCCCGCCCCGCCCGGCCCCGTTCCCGGCCCCGTTCCTGGCCCGGGGCGGCTCCCTTGGCTCGGCGCCGCTCGGTCCCGCCTGCCCGGAGCGCTGGGCTTTCCGCGCCGCCCGCCCGCCGCACCGCAGCCCCATGTCCGCGCTCCCCGCCGGCGCCGACATCAAGCGGGCTCTGGAGAACAGCCCCGAGACCAACATCGAGGATGAGCTGCCCGACGGGCCCCCGCAGCCGCGGCCCAAGAACTACCTGCTCCTCAGCATCCTCGCCTGCTTCTGTCCCGCCTATCCCGTCAACATCGTCGCCTTCGTGTTCGCCGTCATGGTGAGTAGCGCCTCCGGCTCGGGCTCCGAGGAGCCAGCGGCAGGGAAAGGGACATCCAGCCGCCTCCGAGCCGCTTGTCCCGGGAGCTGCGGACACGGGGTGAGGCAGCGAGCCCCGGAGCATCAGCAGCCCGGGGCAGGGTCCTCCGAGCCATCCCAGCAGCGATGGAAAACGCGGAGTGAAAGGCAGTTTCCAACAAGTTTTCGCTGTCGGGCTATCAGGTGGCAGGTTTATTCCAGTTAGTGCGGTTTGCTACATCAACTAAGTCGCACGCTGAACTGGACACAGTATCTGTGTTAAAGTGTCCGCAGGAGAACAGAAATCAGATTTGGTTACTACTTTAGCTAATAAAATATGATAGGAGTGACTTTTTTCCAGTAAACGGGCTGTTTGATACTATTTATTAGAATAATACAATGATAATGACTGTAGGCGGCTGGCAACTGCCCGTGTAAATTGAGTATCAAACACACTGAGAGAACAGCCTTACTCCTACAAT